AGAGGAGTGCCTACCTGCAGAATTCAGAAGAGCACTTCTTTAAACTTCTTTGAGAGACAAAAAAAGATGACCTTAAGTAAAGTTGTTACAGAGCCAAGACGTAAAAGGAAATAGGATTACAGAACTAACCGGCACCTGACCATCAATTTATTTTCATGAAGTCAATACCAAGAATTAGATTTGATGTTGTGGGGCCAGCTTTTCGAAGTGAAGTATTGACCTTCATAAATCAAAATGAATGAAAATTATACAGCAGCATATAACACAACCTTCAGAAAAAAAAAAGAGGGAGAAAAAAGGAAGGCAACAATTGAAGCCATTTACATGTAAAAAAACCTCAAAATGCTCATTGTTTCACGTAAACAAAACACTATCCATGATGTGTTATTAGGAAAAGTATTATGGATAGAGAAAGTTTACCACATTCTCTCTCATATCTGACCCTCCAAATACATGGTTGTAACAGTCATGTGGCATGATCATCCTTTCTAGTTGATGTTTTCAGAATGATGTCCATAACTATGCCATACTCAATAGTCAGTAACACTGTCACCAGAAGTCATTGCAGGAGCAAACTCCACCACGGAACAAGTGGAAGCGATGGCGGTCACGCACAATGATCTCACGTTGGTAGAGCTTGGACACAAGTTTGGCATGGACATGGCAGTCACGGCACACTCGAAGATTCTTGACAATTCGAATAGGCATGTCATGGGGAATGTTTAGAATACCAAATGCTAATGCAAGCCTCTCACTGTGGTACGACAAGGTATTTCCCTTATCTTCCTCGTCGTCCATGTCCATGAGCACTTGGCCAGTATCCTTGACATAGCCAATCAGTTGTAATCTCTGCTCCATATCTTCCAATAATGCATAGATCAGCCTTGTTTGGGGGTGTCTTGTATCACCTGATCTGAACTCATGGACCAAACCATTCCACTCTATAAAGCTCAAACCTGTCTCCTTATTGGCTCCCCTCTCTTCCATCATCTTACGAAGAGCTTTTGCATCTTCCCACAAACCATTGACTGCATATAGATTGAACAGAACAACATAGCGTCCACCATCATCTGGCTCTAGCTCAATAAGTTTCTTTCCTACACGTTCACCCACACCAACGTTATTGTGCATCAGGCATGATGACATTAGAGCCCCCCACTGTGATGCATGTGGCTCCATCGGCATGTCCAGTAACACAGCCTCGGCTTCTTCCAGGAGCCCTGCACGTCCAAGGAGATCAGCCAAGCACCCATAGTGCTCCCTCCGTGGCTCAATGCCATGGTCACGCATGGACCTGAAAACATCCTTCCCTTCATCCACACGACCTGTGTGGGTGCACGCACACAAGACAACAACAAACGTTGACTCATTCGGTACAAACCCCCTATCAAGCATCCTTCTGAACAACTCAAGTGCGCGTTTTCCATGGCCATTCATTGCAAGCCCACCAATCATTGCATTCCACAACACCACATCGTGGCTCTGAACTCCATCAAAGACCCACCATGCCTCATTCATGCACCCACACTTGCAATACATATCGACAAGCGCTGTCTCAAGCATGACATTCCCTGGCCTCCCCCCAAGCCCCTCTGCTTTGAGAAACCTATGAACCCACCGCCCCCTCTCAAGAGCGCCCAGATGCGCGCAAGCCTTGAGTATGCTCACCAGCACCACGGTGTCCGGCCTGAACCCATTTCCCGTCATCTGATCAAACACCCTCAGTGCCTCGCTGAACTCCCCGGCACGCACGCAAGCGTCGATCATTGCGCTCCAGGAAACCAAGCCCCTCTCGGGCATTCTGACGAACATCTCCCGCGCGGCCTCTAGGTCGCCGCACTTGCCGTATCCAGACACCATCGTGTTCCAGGAGACAGCGTCCAGAGCGGTGGCACCACTCGTATCGAACACCATGCGCGCGTCGGGGAGCATGCCGAGCGCGCAGTAGAGCTTGAGGAGACAGTTGGTGACGACGGGGTGTGCGAGCGCGCCGCACTTGAGCGCCTGCGCGTGCGCAAGCCCCGCGGCAGCGAGTCGATCGAAGACGGCAGCGGAGGGGGTGGGGGAGCGGGAGGGGGAGGAGGAGGCGAGGGAGGCGAGCAGGAGGGAGAAGGTGTAGGGGGTCGGCAAGGTCGCAGCACGGATGCGGGAAAAGAGAGCGAGCGCGGCGGCCGCGGGGGCGCCGCGGCGCGCTAGCGCGGCGTGGAGTGAACACCCGCGGGTAGGAGCCGAGGAAAAGCCAACGGCGGCGGTGGCAGCGCCGGTGGAGCGGAGCCCAACGAGTGCGCGGAGGTGCCGGAGGTGAGCGGGCATGGTAAACGGGCGGACAAGCTGCTGCCGCCTGCGCTCGTGCCAAAGCCAGTCATACCCACTAGCCACTGCGCGCGCAAGGATTTGTGCCAAAAACTCATTCGATTTTGCCACTTAACAGTATATACCATGCGCCCCCACCCCCACCCCCCACCAGGGGGGAAATTGGCCAGTAACATCACAAAATCATTCGAGGCGTAATACCAGCAGGCTTTTTTTAATTTATGATCCAATGTTCCATTTAAGTAATGTCAAGTTTATAATGTACGGTACCTTCAGATTTATGCATCTGATACAATTACAACCTAAGAGCATCTCCAAGATTACCAAAAAAAACCTTCCCTATCCTTGTTTTGGGTAAAGTACATTTTTCAACCTCTAACTCGCATTATAGTTCGATTTTCAACCTTCAACTATAAAATCGGGTAGCAGACACTCTCCAACTGTCAAAACCAGACAAAGTTGGTCCTCCGTAGATTTAAAAAGCGATTTTCTATTTTCTAATAATAAAAAAATCTAGTTCGATCCTAGAAGTTTGTAATTAATTTATTTTAAATTAGAAAAATATGAAACTACTTCATGTTTTGTTCTAAAAATGGTATATATATGTTGATGATATATTAAAAATTGTTTTAAATTTTGCATAGAATTTAATTTCGCACGGAATTAAATTGTTCGCTTTCTGTTCTTTTACATTCCCTGCCTTCGTCTCCGCGCGCACCGGGTGCCAAGCCTTGCTTTTGGCCAAAAACAACTCGAGAGGCGGGCTGCGAGCGCCAAGCCCTGTATTAATATACTCCCTATATCCCTAGATTCCTGGAGTTGTCTTAAGTCAAACTTTTTAAATTTTGACTGAATTTGTAGAAAAAAAAGCATCAAGATTTATGATATCAAACTAGTATTATTAGATGTACGACAAAATATATTTTCATAATATGCTCATTTTATGCCATAGATATTACCACTATTTTCTATAAAGTTAGTTAAACTTAAAAAAGTTTGACTGACACGGATTCTATGAATTAATTTATTTGGAGTTAGAGGGAGTATACGGTAGCATTGCTATCCTTATTTTAGGTGAAACTAGTACCTTTTTCTAAAAATGTCCCTATTGCTTTATAGCATCAACATATATATAACATTTTTAGAAGAAAACATAAACTAGTTTCATATTTTTGTAATTTAAAATAAATTAATTACGAACTTCTAGAGATCGAATCGGATTTTTATTATTATTAGAAAATATAAAACCGCTTTTGAAACCGGCCGATGACTAAATTTGTCCGGTTTTGACAGTTGGAGTGTGTCTGTTACCTGATTTCATAGTTGAAGGTTAAAAATCGAACTTTAATGTGAGTTGGAGGTTGAAAAATATACTTTACCCTCTTGTTTTTATTTAGCAAAATAGAAAAAAAAAATCCTCTCCAACTACTCCTAATCCGTGACACTTGAAAAAAAAACACGTCCTCTTAAAGTTGCGCGCACTCTCTGTCGCGCGTATCCTCCTTCCCAGCGCTTTCTCCTCCGTGGGAGTCCGGCCGCGACATGGTGCCGTGGGAGTCCGGCCGTGACATGGCACCGTGGCCATGGCGGCCCACCAGCAGCAGCAGGTCCGCGCGGCGCTTCTCCGAGTTGGTGAGGCAGACGCGGCGCGCCCTGTCCACGACGGCCTCGGCCATCTTGCGAAGGTCGGCGTTCACGTACCTGAAACCTGATGGGCTCGATCGCCGGCTCCTGATGACCGATCGAGCACACATGCCATGCTCCTGATGACCGAACGAAACTGCTGCTTGGATTGGAGTGGGCGCTTTGCCGCTTTGGATAGAGCAGAGCATGTAGCTACTAGCCTACGACTGCCGCTGCCTGTGATGATCTCGAGGTGAGCTGCAGAGCAGGCATGCCGGAACTCGCCGTGGCCGGCGGACTCCGCGAGCACGTGCAGGTGCAGGCCACGAGGACGCGTGCCGACGTGCTGCGGAAAGACAGGAGCCTCGGAGCGATCGACCCTGACGAGAGGTTAGCCACTGCGAGCAGCTCCGACGTGGGACTCGAGTCCGCGGACAGGGCGGTGGTGCCAGCGACCGAGGAGAGACGGGCCAAATTTTGATTTTAGGAAAGCATTATTGGGTACTTTTGGAGATAGCCTAATTTATTCCTCCCAATCTTTTTTTAGAAGTTGAAAAAAGGTAAGGTTTTAGGGAAGAAAATATTAGATACTCTTGGAGATGCTCTAATGTTCCATTTCAGTAATGTCAAGCTTTTTCCTTTGATCACTTTGCAACTCAAAAATCTCGATCCTCCAGTACCAAATATGATTCTTTTCGAACTGTGTTCATCGTCTAACATCAGGTAATATAAATGTTACAGTTTATACCCATCAATCTGAGGTATCATTGGGTTCAAGGATAACAATTGTGGTATATGCTACAGACCTACTCAACAACTACAATTACTACTGTATATAACTAATTGAACATGAAAATTTGTTGCCTGCCCAAGTCCAAAAGAGATCGGAGAGAAACAAAAAAGACAAGAATAGAAAAACATGGCTTTCAGCTCGGTACCAAACAATGATCAGATTCCACACAACGCCCTGGCTTCTTGGTTGTAGAATTAGTGATCGCTCAAGCAAATAAGGCTCTACCAGAGATTCACTGCACTGACCCAAAATGGGGCGATATTATCTTCACTTAGTCACACTTTATGTTCCTGTAGATCCTCCTCACAAACAATGTAGATCCAAGATATCCGACGGCACCTAGAAAAAGCACCAAGCAGTATTAAACTAACAATACCATGGTTTGTCTACCACAAGATTGCAGAAGAGCTTACCGCATAGTGTTCCTAAACCTAGGCAGAACATTAGAGTGTAGCCGAAGTAGAAGCTTGTCTGGAAGAATCCTGACATCTTGGTCTTCATGTGGTAATAATATATGGAGTAGAGATAAACATACAGAGCAGTGGAAGCAGCAGAGAAGAATGAAGTCCATTGCCAGTGGTAGTTCTCCGCATTTAGCAAGAAATATGTTCCGACAATTGTTACACATATGGTGACAATTATGAGGATTAGAAAGACCAGCAACATGAACCCGTAAACATAGTATACCTGTCAGTGGTTGATCAAAAAAGAAGAGCCATCAATGTCAACTCCAATGCCTCCTTAGTAATGAAGCTTAGAGATTGGTGGGGTGGTGTGTGTGTGTCGGGGGGCATGGGGAACAGGCTTGTCTTCCATACCTTATAGTTCCAGAAGGATGTGAAGACAAAGTACATCTCAATAAAGATACTACCAAAAGGAAGCAGTCCTCCCATAAGCGCAATGACAGATGGTGTGAGGTACCATTTCTTCTCAGGAATAGGTCGAGGAATAGTCTTTACCCTACAGGGATTGTTTGGGGCGCCACTCCAGTTTCTACCAACAACAGTTCCCAGAAGGGCAAGAGGGAAAGAGATGAAGGCCCACAGGATGAAAACAACCACCATCGTACCAAATGGTATGGCAGCTAATGATCCATAGAAAATAGCAATAGTGTTAAGCACTAGGCCAATTCCAAAGCACATAAATGGGAAAAGTGATGCTGTCATGGCCATCGCCTTGATCCAGTTTTTCCCTGCTCCCACAAAAGGATTTAAAACAAGTGAGCACCTTATAGAACTATAGGTACACAGTTCAATTTTACATGATAAATAAGCCCATACCTCCATGCCGTGAGTATAGTGCACCACTGACATATCCAGAGATGAATGAAGTAAGAGCATAGCAAACAATGAATGTTGTGACAATAGCTCCTCTCCTGGCAGAATAAGTACACATAGTGAGTGACATTTTGAGTAGCATAACAAAGTACAGTTATCCCTCAAGAAAACAAAGTAGAACTAGAATGCTTTGTTTTTGCAGTTGCTTGTGATTCCTACCCTACATGCACAAACTCCAAGAATCAAATGTTTCTTGATGCATTGCCTTCAAACATTACATCACTAGGATGAGGCAACACAAACTATAGTGTTAAAAAGTACTAGTTTCAGAAAAAAAAATTGTATGTTTTATGTTTATAATATCAAATGTATATGATCTTTGGCATGCGAAGTATCATAAAACAAGAGTCAGTCAGGCAGCTCCATTAAAATGCAGGTTTTACCAATTACTACAAGTGGCTTGTAAAGAGAACGATGTTTTATGAAGCAACATAATAAATTCACATACCCAATGTACAGCATTCCAATGATTGCCAACAAAATCACTAGTAGAATCAGTGCTGCCAACTGTGTACCAATACCAACAAGAGCTAAAAGAAGAACTAGATTGCAAGGAGGCCGGAAAACATCACCATGTACAAGCTTCCATCCAGATTCTTCATTGACATCTCGTTCCTAATACAAGCTAATGTATATCAGCAAAGGATACAAGAGGTAAAAATAATTAAAAATTAGAACCTGCATAAACACTAAAACACTACTGGAATAACACTATGTGAATATCATCTATATAGAAACTCACCAGAGTTTCAATATCATCATCATCACGGGCATACTTTGCATAATCATTTCTTAGAGTCCGCATCAGTATCATTGACACTAGTCCAGTGAGAAAGATAACCATCATGAAAGAATTGAAAATTGAGAACCAGTGAATCTGCAATTACAAGAAATAACTAGAAATTAAGAAGGTATGCTTCAGGTCCTTTCAAACATGCATGACACAGTTAACGGGAAGCAACTAGAGTGAAGTTTTGTATTGTAATTATGAGGAGCCAAGCTGCAAAGATTTCCTTAATTGCAAAAATGTAATACCTATATTACCTGGTGTTCAAAGAAAGGATAGTCCAGATACACATCAAAGCGGTGAGCAAATGTTATGTTTGTTGGTTCCCATTTGACAGAATATGTCATGTCCAATGCCTTGTTCACATCAATAAGCTTTGGGCTTTCTTGAGTAAGATTAACATGGATAATCTGCATGGAATGGAAGTAGCAAGGATGATAAGCTATACTAATGGCTATGTGAGGAGATATAAGCTCGTGATACACAAACCTGATTGCCGTTGTATCTGATGACGATATTCTTGTGGGTGAATAGGAAATATTTGTTATCATTGTTTCTGTCTGCCTCTCCAACAAAACCTGAAGATTTGAAAAAGGTAAGCCTAGAGAAGGTCTTACAGAGAGCACATACAGAAAAGAACAAGGAGTATATACATACCCCACAAAGGCAAATCATCTTGATTGTAGCACAATAGCAGGGGGGCAGCGCATCCAGAAAAGGAAATCGTAAGTCAGTACATCAAGTGTATAGTGCATACAGATTTAGTTGTTACTAAAATGGCGAGCAGGCACACGAGTTAATCAAAAGAGGAAACAGATAACTCACCAATGAAAAATTCAAACCAATATGAGTTCTCAATCGCATCTGACAATTGCTTAGCCTTGACAAGATCCAGGTCAAGTGAACAAATTGTGGCCTTATCAACATTCTCTGAGACAAAGCGTGTCCAAATTTTAGTCATCGGCCTCGTTGCATCTACCTTACCCCTTCAATGTTAAAGTACTGAAGCAGGACAAAAGCAAGGATCACTTACTTCTGAACTTTATGTCGATCTGGCTGTCAATGAGTTCATTCCCACCAAGGACCTCCCCAAGTCCTCCCCACTTATGCACATGGTTTTCTGACGCATGGCAAAATGGGAGGCTGTAGTAGTTGTATGTCTCCTGGGGATTGTTGTACGGACCAACCTTGTTCACCCAGAGCGTCACAGGCTCCTCTGCTTGGTACTAAAATAAACAAACAGCAGCAGAAAGCAATCGTAAGGATGAGAAGGATTAGACAACTTGTTGGCAAAACGTAAAAAATCCTCTGTCTAGCGCTGGGCACAAAATTCACCTAACTTACACAATGGAGGCAAAAGCAAGGCATTGCAGACCACCTAGACTACATATCACAAGCAATAGGCACCTGAACTGAATGCAGCAAAGAAAAATTAGTCATAGAAGATGCACTTCGATCAGTCTAACGTTAGAAGATTACTAATCGACACAATGGCCTGAATGCCTCCACACTGCTGTTTCTCACCACCCATTTCACTCCTAGCCGCAATCGGCCACTAATACAGGTAAGATCTAGCAACCGCCCGACAGCTCGATCCGGCGCGCACTACACAGAGATCCCGCTCGCCCGGGCCGGCGCCACGCAGATCTGACCCCAAGCGAGCGCGGATCTAGCGGCGCGCGGAGTGTAGCGCGCGAGCCGAGCCAACCGCTGCCGCTGGGAGGCACGACACCACGGGGGCCTGGTTTTCCGACCGCATGTAGTGTGCTCGTTTCGACGGAGCGACACTGGGAGATGGGGGGCGAGTCGTCGAGTACCTTGTGGTCGGAGTCGGAGGCGGCGGCGAGGGGTAGGAGGACGAGGAGGGTGATGGCGGCGGACACGGCGCCGGCGGCGGAGGCCATTGCCGGATGGAATGGCCGGCCGGCGAGGAGCGGTGGTCGTCTCTCTGTTTTTCTCGCTGTGTTTGGCGGAGTGCGAGTGCGACGGAAGGGGAAGGAAGGGGGACAGCTGCATGGAAGGCAGGGGAAGCCCGAGGTTTTTGAGGAAAGGTGCAACACGCTGAGCAGACTGCAGGCTGCAGGCTGCAGGGAGACCGTCAGATCTCCTTTTTAAAAAAAAAAATATTTTATTACTTATTTTATTTATTATGTCTAGTTACGACTAATCTTATTTTATCAAAATGTTTCTTTTGATTCATCACTACTTGAAAATTTATGAATGGGAACTAATAATATCTCGTAATCTTAAAAATTGGCTTTTATCTAGTGATTATTTTTCCATCTTACATGCTAATACAGTCAAAGCATTCTTTCTCCTTGATCGCAATTTGCAACACACCGTTCTCTCTTGATGCTCCCCTCTCCCAACCCTTTACCTTTAGTTATCCTTTGTTGCGGTTCTTCTTCCACTAAATTTGTGACTATCGTCCATAGTTAGTTAGTTACCCTAAACAGGTTACCCTAAACAGTACACTTGAACCTCTTTATTTTCTCGATACTACCCATTGGTCCCTCTGCCAAGGACAATGGCATTCCACCTCATGTATTTGTCCATCATGTGTCTCCTTCATGGCAACACACGCACCTACCTACCGTAATCCAAAACCTCGCAAAACCCTAGGCTTAAGCCCTGAAGCTCACCCTAGGCATTCGGTTAACCGAAACCGTTCGGTTCGGTTTCTCGGTTCTTTATAAAATTCGGTTAGCATAAAACTGGAACCGATCGGTTAGCTAGAAAACTTGAAACCGAGGAAATTCGGTCTTGGTTAGTTCGGTTTGGTTTCGGTTAGAACCGAACTAACCGAGCCATACATTACATCAGCGAAACAGAAGGGAAGAAAAGGAGAAAAATGAAAACCGAGCCATACATTACATCAGCCATACAGTTCGGTTCTTTTGCTATTGGGCCAATATGTACAAATTCGGTTCTTCGGTTCTGTTCGGTTAACCGAGGTCTGGAACCGAATTACCCGATATTATTTCGGTTCCTGAGAACTGGAAACCGAACTATGAACCAAAATTTTCGGTTTCGGTTAATTCGATTTCGGTTCCGGTTATTTCGGCTCGGTTCTCGATTATTTTTGCCCAGGGTTACCTGAAGCCACCACTGGCCATTGTAGTTGTCGGTCCTTATATGAAAAACTGTCTTGTTCACCCATCACTCACCATAATTGACGTCAAACATCACACCTAGTTTCTAGGAAAATTAAGTCTTTTGAAGCTCTAAGGCAGTGGCAGAAGCATATTCTAGGGAGTTTTGTTAAGACGGAGTGGTAAATAATAGTATTGTTAGATTTCCTCATCAAAAGATAAATATGTTATATAGATGACAGTTATGTGTGCATGTTTTTGTTAAAATTTTGTGGTAAGCTTTAAACATAAAAAAAACATGATTTAGAGACCATTGGCAATGCACGTACGACACTTCTTTTAATTTTGCTTGGACATTGCAGCTCCAAGAAGCCCAACTCATGCCTATGCCCAGTAACCATTCGAGAGTTTTTATTTATCTATAGATCTAAGGAACAGAGCTGAAAATATTTGTACATATCTGATTGAGTGAGCTTATGGAAGGTCTCGTCCTGCCACCTGACAAAATGGTCCCATCTGGAAGCCGTATTATGAAAGCGGTTAAGAATGGGGTGGAGCGATCCATAGATCTCCCATAATTCAAAAATAAAGGAAAGAATTATAATCCGTGGTTGTGGGACTAGATGGGACTTGTAAAGGTTTAGTAATTGAAGCTATGAACCCATCAATTATAATCGCATTAGCTCTTGCAGCTGGGTATTGTCGCGAAGTGAAATCAACCTCATTCTCAACAATATTGGAAGGAACTTGAGGGATAGTCTGCTCCTGTAGTCTAGAAGAGCTGGTATTCTGATCATTAATAGTTTCCCCACCATGACCAAGTTGGCAGTGTGGCCCAGATCATCAGCAACAAGCTTCGGTTTGTCCATCTCTAGAGATACATCTCCTAAACTAGCACTAGGTGTTGGTGCCTTACCATCAACAACATCTGCAGCCTCATTTAAATTGCGTATTGGTTCCACTACGAGCCATGATGATTCATCGTCTCCTCGTATTCATCCTCTCTAGAGTCATCGTTCTGTCTCATAGGATTTTTATCGGCACCTCTTTTGGTGATACTCAATTTTTAATAGATGCTCTTATTAAGAGTAAGATTGCATCTAGGGACAGGCAAGAGAATATGATGTTGGACAGCTTCCACGATTTCCTTTTATATTAAACTAGAGGACAACCGCATATACCCATTGGAGCCACCCAAATCCTTAAAATTTGCAAGCCGAGTACTCCTATCTGTATCTGGACTAGGGGGTGGTTCTAGACCCTGGAGCTCAAAGCACGAAAAGTGCCAAAGTCAGACGAGGGCATCTCCCGCTCGCTTTCCCCTTTTCACTCCTGCACGGGCACGGCACGCGCGCCGTGGGCTGGCAGCTGGCAATAAACAACCTGCGTCAAGCGAGCCAAGCTCAAAGCACCGCAATCTCCCATTCTTCCCCGGGATCGGCGACGATGCCGCGAGATGGAGGGGGATTCGGGCAGCCTCGTGTTTGACGCGGCATCAGAGTTCGCAAGGCCTGCCGCCTGCGTCGGCGTCGCATAGTCAACACGTCGGTGTGAATCGAACAGACTTTCTACCGATCGGTGAGTCAACTCATACGAGTAGCGAATTCAGCGTCGGTAAGCAAAGGGCGATCGACCTTTATCAAATGATGGAATAAACGTATCCTACACTTGTTATCTAGAAATGCTGGTGGCTTCTTTTTTAAACGGCTTACACTTACGACAAAAGCAAACAGATGTTTTGCACAGAATAAAATTGTTTAATACTCTTCCCGTCCCAAATTAAATTAACTTCTACAATTATTTTAAGTCAAACTATTTTAAATGTAATCAAATTTATAGAAAAAGCAACAATATTTATGACACCAAGTTAGTATCACAAGATACATCATGAAATATATTTTCATAATGTGTATTTGATGTCATATGCAATATTATTGTTTCTCATAAAATTAGTTAAACTTAAGATAGTTTAACTTCAGCTAATTTTAAGAATTGATTTATTTTAGGACAATTTGGTTTTTATATTCAAGTTCCAGTTTCAAGCTTTTATTTACATTTAATTCCAGTGCCGGTTTATTGGGAAGTGTAATTTGGTTCTTATGTTCATGTTTATGTAAGTAAGTGCTGACCCTACTTACTCGGCTTTACCAGTAAATGCTAATGATGTATTCAAGTTCGTCCATTTCAAATGGAAACTACTATTTAATTGATGATTCATTCGATCGTCTTTGCTCATGGATTCACGTGTGGTATTTGTTCTTCAGGTTCTGATTGTAATTGCTAAGTGTTTTTACACACCCTTGTGTTTATTTAGTTTTTAGGTACCAATTCATCGTGACATACATGGGATTGAGAGTAGCACCTTCACGAGAACCACTTAGTTAAACATACTTAATTCTCTAATTCAAAGTATTTGCAACTATAATAGTTAGCAGAGGTTGCTTAATTGTAGTTTATGGTTGAGACAATCTTTGCTATTGAGATGGTTCTTTTATTCTATCGTTGGGTTGGGCTGTGATGCTTATGTCAGTGCTTATGAGATTGTATTATCTACGTGATGTGTTTTTTACCTGTATTATCTATATGATGTGTTTTTTACCTGTTCAGATGCCCAGTTTACTGAAGAATCTCTGTCAAAATTTGTAATAATTTCTAAACTTAGTACAGCTTAAGTGTTGATTGGTAGCGCCGCCTCTGTTGGTTTTTCTAGCCGGGGTGTTAACAATATGAGTGACCAGGGAAGAGCGGCGAGCAAAGGCGATTGGGGAAGGGTCGTTTGTACGGGCTCGACGGGGAAGGGCGGCACATCAACGGGGGCTCGTCAGGGAAGGGTGGCACATCTGCGCGGGTAGACGGGGAAGGGCAGCATGTTCAGGCGCTCGAGCATGAGATGCAGCGGCACGCGCGCTCGAGTTGGAGGCGTGAGATTCTGCACGGGGAATGAGTAGAAAGTGGGGCCGAGGAAGGGCACGCATGAAATTTGCCAAAACGGTGATTTGAGGACTTGGTCGAGAGCCCCAAGAATAAGGGCTAGAATGGGATTTAACGCCCCCTCAAATTTGAGGGCTCCCATAGAGACTTCGCTAGACCCTGTTTTTTTTTTGCCTCGAGCCCTTGGTTTTGAGAGCTCAAGTAGAGGCCCTGCTTGAGTTGCTCTAGGGGCATTCCCAACAAAGAAACTAGATCTTCGTCACACAAAAAAAACAAAGAAACTAGGTGATTTCTATATTATTCATTAATTAGTGTGCCAACTAAGAAAAATGATGATGTGACAATGGAATTAAAGAAGAGATGCTGGAGGAAAGGGTTTCTTAGATAAGAAAATATGTCTATATAAGAACCAAGATATAAAGATATGTGATAATTAGATGATGAAGAGAGGAAACTTATGATTGGATAAAAAATTACGAGTGAATTGCATTGTGGGTCCTTAAACCCCCCTTCAGGGGGTCTGTTCGGCTGGTATTAAAGCCGGCTGAAGCTGATTTGTTGTGAAAGAAAAATACTGTAGATTCTAGCTGATAAGCCGGCTGATAATTTCAAGCGAACAGGCGTTCATGCACTTTTTTCGTCATCTGAATCCATGAATTATGTCTGTGTCCTAACCACCATCCAAATCAGGCCGCATAGAACTTTGCCGCCTACATTGCATTTGACATGGGGGGATATGGTCGTGTGTGGTGCCACGGTGGCATGCAACGAGCGCAGTGCGTGGCTGCGCGCTCGCTGATGGCATGCCGCCCCCATCGCTGGCCACCCTCGACCTCGAAGGCCGCCGTGAGGTAGATGGAGGTGCTCTTGACCTCTGAGGT